GTGTTCGGGGGTCATTGATGATAATCTGTCGATATTCTGATCTTATGGCAAATAATATATAAATAGTCGGGTTTGTTCATATTTTTTTTTCTTGTTGCTTTCTTCTTTGCTAAATGATTCGGTGCAAAACGCCTTCGTCATATCCAATGCCGGTGGAGATTGGTGTTGGTTCCAAATCCGATACACACAAGAACGAAATAAAAAAAAAAAACGTCACGAAGACGGTGAGAATCACGACAATAAAACAAAAATGCGAAAGAAAAAAGAGGTAGAGCGAAAAATATAAGAATGCCAAAACGAAGAAATATTTCTCCGAGTGCCGTCTGAAGATGAGTTTTAACTTACTCGCTAACTCTCTTTCCCTCGCTCGCAAAGATGAAGAACGCAAGAAAAAAAGCAATTGAGTGAGAGAGCCGGGCAGGAAAGAAGCTCAAGAATGAATTTAGTCGCTTTGGAATATGATGTGTCCTATGCATGGCACAGGTTACTCACCACACTGATGTTCGATGTACTCTCGATGCTGTGGTCGATCTGTCGTTTTTCACTGAATTTCGATTTATCATACTCACTCATTTAATATTCGGAACCGTCGTTAGACGTTTTGTTAATTTTTCTTCTTGATGTTTTATGCCCATGGCTTCTTTTTTTTTTGTTGTTGTCGTCTTCGTCGTCTTTTTTCGTTTCATTCTATTCTTCTCTTCTTCTCGCTCGTTTGTTTTGTTCTTTCGATTCAAAGACGTTTCCTTTGTCTCAAAGAACTCATTTTGGCTTTTATGCTTTCTCACCTAACTTCATTCACTTTACAATTCCATTACAGGATCATTCTGGCTCTTTTCAACATAATCGATATATATATATTTAAACATTAAACGTTGTGCATTTCGTCTTTTTCTCCATCATCTTTATCTGCGTAAGCGATTCAAAGTAAATGGCTTTGGTTTTGTGAATCAACACACCGATCTCAGAGTGACCGACGACAACGAACACAACCATCTCAAATAAAGCCATAATTTGACCAATATTCAAATATTTTCACTCGGTGACTTAACAAATATATTTAATTTTCGTACACAAATATCTTTTTGGTATAATTCACACGACAGTTGACCACATGATGATTTTTTTCTTGTTTCATTCTGATGATGGTTAATGTTCTTAGAGAAACATTTAACATTGTCAAAAAGAAAAATGGCCATCATTTTTTTGACGATTTTTCACCTTTCGAACGGAACAAAAGCAGCAACAACAAAAAAGATTAACAACATGTTTGAATAGAAAAAATATTTAACGAAAAAAAAAAAATACAAAATCGCTCGATGTGCGAACCATCTTGAACAGAAGAGACAGAGCAGACGAATGAGTCGAAATAAAAGAATACCAAAACGAACAGCGACTTTGCTATCTTTTGCTGTCGTGAGCGCGCGTACACACACACACACACGTTCGTGTTCCATACATAAAAGAGGTCCCACATTTGATTAAAGAAAAATTGGATAATAGTGCGGCGATTATTATTTTCATTATTATATTATAATCATTGGTTGTTTGTGTAGTATTCATGTTGGCCGCCGTTCAGTTCAAGACACTTTCAGTTCGAACTATGTGAGCAGAGAAAGAGATAAAAGTTTTGTTGCATTGATTTGTTTTGCGTTTCTTGCACATTTTTTTTTTTCGAAAGATTTGTCCGCGCCTCTTTTTGCGAGATGACATTTAATAAAAAGAAAAGCCAGTAGTTCTTACATGACAGCAAAACGCATCTGGCCAATATGAACTGGCAGCAAATCATATTTTCGCTTGCGTTTTATGTGCAGGAAACTGGAAAATATGTGCAGACTTCGCTAATAAGCACGGCGTGAATACAGTGAACCTATCATCATAAATGGCATTAGAAAAACAGCAAAAATTCTTTAGATCAGCTGAAGAAGAAGCATGCAGCTGAAATACTTTGTAATATAATAATTTCATTTCATTTGTATAATTGTTTGACTCGCAGCACTTGTGCTGATTTAACTGCAGAGATGGTGCAGAGAGAGATAGAGGGAGCGAGAGTCAGATAGAAAGAGATAGAGAGAGAGAGAAAGCGAGACAATGAGACAGAGGTAGAAAATATGCTTAATGACAACAACGTCGCCGATAACTGTTTCAAAATTAAATGCATTTTTGCCATTTAAAGATTTTGTCATGCCATTGCAAATATAGCTCGGCAAAAAATGGACTTTAATTTAAATTAGATAAAATGAAATGTACTAATGAAATTGTGAGATGCGAATCGCCGAAGAATATTCAGAATAAAGAGTGTCTGTTCCATTTGAGAATATGCGAACAGAGCAAAATTGAAGAAGAACAGGGAAAATGAAAGGAGGGAGAGAGAGAAACACATACACCATACAACGAAACGACAAATTTCCAACTAAATATTTTGTGTCTGGTGAGGAGCGAAAAGTTCTCTCAACAACATGATGCACACTCTCACATATTCGGGTGTATGTTGAATGCAAAAGAACAAAATACGACGACATTTTTTACGCGTTGACACGTATGTATACACATATATGCGATGAGATGTGAACGAGAGCGAGAAAACGAACGAAACGTTCTCTAAACGCAAAACCAATATTCGATTTGAAACAAGAGACTGAAATAAAAACAACAACAGCATCAACAGCAGCAACAGCATCATCTACAGCTCAAGAGATACCAAGAGCAGCAACCAAATGTGTTTCTATCATTTACGAACGCAGATAAACCCGTTTTTCTGTCATAAATATATTCCGTGTATGACAAGAAACGCGCGAGTCGATCATCCAAACCGAATGATTCTGCCGAGTAAATGAACCGAATGGCCACAGATGCAAGAGACGTGTATGCAACACACAACTCACCTTCTCGTTCTCTCTCTCTCTCTCTCTCTCTCTCTCTCTCTTCCGCTCCTGGTCGCTGTATCGTTGTTTGCTCTCGGTGTGCACACATCTTTTAAGTTTTCCTTCATTATCTGCGTACGCTGACTTTTTTTCGATTTGAATTCTCGCTGCTGTTGTTGTTGTTGCGTTTTTTTCTACCTTAAATATGTGTGTACCTGGACGGTTAAATATCGTTGGAATTTTGTCTTGTTGAAACGCAACATAATCTCAATGTTTCGTCGACATTGGCCTGGCTTATATTGTGTCTATCGATCATTTTGTATGTTTGAGTAAGGCAACATTATTTTTCGTCTGAGTGTGTGTGTTTGTGAATGTGGAAATCATCTTTTCGATTCTCATTTGGCGAGCAAACAACGATCAATCCAATACTAAACAATCCATTTTTTTTCCAATTCTAGCTCTCTCGCATTTTCTATCATCAAAATGTTCATGCTTTTTCTTTTTTGTTGAAACATCTGTGTATTTTACTCGGAAATTCAAATATTTATATGCAAGTTCCTCTGCTGGAACTTATATTTAAGTAACTACAATCTTCATTTCGAAAAAGTTCATTTTGTCTATTTTGATTATCTTCTTCTTTTATTTACAATTCTATATTTTTTTACCCGTTCAACGTCATTATTTTCATATAACAATATTTGCTCAAAGACAGGCTGAACATTTTGCCGTCATGATAAGATTATGTTTGCCCAGACTCTGCTTCTCTGGCTCTAAAGGCCGGAAAAACAAAAAACCCAACAAATAAATAAAGACAAAATTAAACCATCAACAATTGTTATTATTATTGGTTGATTTCAAAATTTCGCATTGTCAATTTAAAAAATGTTCTTTTGCTCGCTGAATTTGGTCAAAAATATCATCATCAACAACAACAACTCAAGAACAAGATCATTGAACAATCGCTTTTACGCGATTGCAAAAAATATTATTAAGTCGACATTAGAAATGGTTTTGTCGGCAATTGCTCCATATCTAAAGCATTGCTCTGCTTATTTTTTTTATGAACGAAACGAAATTGTCTTATATTTCAATTTTTTGCTATTGTTATTTCTGTCGTTATGTCGCTACTGAATGTTGTGTGTTGTTTTCTTGTGGTCTGCATTTGTTGCAGTTGCTTCTCATTTTCGTTGAGGTTGACAACGCTACTCTTGGTTGTTGTCGTTGTTTACTGCTTTTTTTTCTCTCTTTTCTCTTCAATTCGCTTGCAATGCTTTAAATTGTTCTTTCACCTCTCGCTTATTGGAACGTGTCATCACTGTCGTACTGTTGTGCCAAAGATGCGCTTCTCTTATTATTTTATTCACTTGCAAAGCATTGGTATGTGTGTTATTATAGGTAGAGCGGCATACATGCGCGCCTGTGATAACAATGGAAATATTTCAAACTTGTTTTATTGTTATTATTCAATTGATTTGCAGTTTGTGTACACTTTTTTTGCACCGTATTACTACTCCCTATTTCTCTCTATCTCTTTCACTTACTTCTATTCTCTTTTGTAGCTCTCGTTTGCACATGATTCGTATAAATAGAAATTCATCTCTTTTAATGAAATATATAATTCATTTTTTGTTTACAATTCAATTCAACTCAGTTTTTAACGATTTCCCTATTGGATGACAGTTTCTGTTTGTGTTGTGTGTTTTAATTTATGTCATTTATATCATTTGGATAACAATAAGAATTTGAGATAGGGTAAGAAAATCGAGAAGTAAAGAGAGAAAAACTCGATGCAAAAGAAGACATAATACAACATCATTAGAGAATTTGAATCGAAATATAAGCCAGTCGAATGGTTTTAATATGAAACCCGGTGACTTCGACGTGAGATAGAGAGAAAAACGACATTTTTACCATTTAATGAGCGTTTAATGAGGTCATTGGTGTTGCTGCTGTTGTGGTGGTGCTGCAGCAGCCGTTTCAAACATTTGCATTCTCGCGATGGCTGAGAGTGAATTCGCAAGAATTCCCTTTCGAGCACACGTTCACAAAACAATAAAATATTTTCTTTTTTTTCTCGCTTTTTTTACTGTTTCATTTCGATTCTCATAAACTTTTCTTTTCTATTTTTTTCTTCCACAGTTGAACTTCACGCACAATAGAAATTGGCCGAAAGAGACTAAGTGCAACAATACATAATACACTGAACGTTTTTTTTTATTTGTTTTTGTTTAGAAAGAGTAAAATTCATTGAACTGCAACAAACAACTATAATAGTGTCAATATAACTCAGAAAAAAGTGTTAATTGTGAATACATATAAATGTTTTACGAAATAAAGTGTAAAATTATGTCCATATAATTGTGCAAAACAGTGCTAAAACATAAACAAAGATAGAGAAAGAGCACGCGAAAAAAGTCAAACGATTCGAAGAAGAAGAAGAAGAGGGAAAAAAGTATTTCGAAGAAAAGTCGAAGGAAAAAAAGAGAGATAAATAAAACAAAAAGAAGAAGAAGAAGAATAATAGTGTCTTTGCGCTTGTTGTCGGCAAAGTATAAAAGTGATCGAAGGGTTTTCAAAGTCACACTGAATGGAAAACAAAAATATGTGCAATGGCTTTGTTGAAGAATTGTGGTAATGGCTCATAAACAAACAGCCATAAATGTGTTGAACTGTAACGAAGCAGCTACAAAAGGTGAATTATGACGCTCAGAACTTCGTGGTTGAGTGTCAGTATGCTTCGTTTAATGCGACAACAACGACTGTCGTTGTCGTCCATTGCGACAATGTTATTGTTGCTGTTAATGATTTGTATGGAAATTAGCACAATAAATGCACACGGACCTGGACCAGGAACGTATAGCAGTTTTATTTATCCACGGCGACGATCGTCGGCCGATGGTTTTTCATCGCAAATGCAATCGCGTGCCGTTGATACGCGTGTACCGCTTGAAATTTTAGAAAATGAACCGCGCGGCACGGTTGTCGGTTATATACCAACAAAAATTGGTTTTACATATCGATTTAATGAACCGCCGCGTGAATTTACGCTCGATCCAAATACGGGCGAAATAAAAACAAATATACCATTGGATCGGGAACAACGTGAAAGATACGATTTAGTGGTATTATCAAGTCAACCAACATATCCAATTGAAGTACGGATTAATGTACTCGATGCTAACGATAATTATCCCGAATTTCCCGAGCCAAGCATTGCCGTTTCATTTTCGGAAAATGCACAGTCGGGAACACGACTACTATTGGATGCCGCAACCGATAAAGATATTGGCATCAATAGTGTTACAGATGACTATCGCATTGTGAGTGGAAATCATGATGATAAATTCCGTTTGGCCGTTACAACAAATCCAAGCGGTGACATATCATATTTACATTTGGAAACAACGGGAAAACTAGATCGTGAAACACGAGGTTTCTATTTTTTGAATATATCAGCCAGAGATGGTGGTAAACCATCACCAAAACTTGGATACGTTCAAGTGAATGTGACAATATTGGATGTGAACGATTCACCACCAATTTTCGATCACAGTGATTATATTGTTTCGTTAAACGAAAGCGTACCACCGGGAACACCAGTACTTCAGGTGATGGCATCCGATAATGATTTGGGTGATAATGCAAAATTAACATATTATTTATCCGAAACTGAAACACAATTCACCGTCGATCCAGAGACTGGTGTTATTTTAACGACAGAACACTTATCATGTCCACAGCAACAGGCAACATGTTCGACGACAGCCAAGCCCGGTGCCAGTTGTCCGAAAAGTTGTGTATTTACTGTGTTCGCACGCGATCATGGTTCACCACGTCAAGATGGACGAACTTATGTCACTGTTAACCTACTCGATACAAATGATCACGATCCAGTTATACGATTTCAATACTTTCCATTGACCGGAACATTTGCCACGGTCGATGAGAATGCATCGAATGGCAGTGTTGTTGCTGCCATTTATGTTGTTGACATGGATGAAGGTTTAAATGGTGATACGAATATTAAAATCATCTCCGGAAATGAAAGGCAACACTTTCGATTGGAAAATACACCAAGCTTTGATATTGTACGAGTGAATGGTATTTTGGATCGTGAAGAGATCAGCACGTACAATTTGACAATTATTGCAACTGACAAAGGTACACCACCACGAACAGCAACGGCAAACTTAATAATTCACGTAAATGATGTTAACGATGCTTATCCAGTTTTTGAGAAATCCGAATATTCGGCCGTTTTAAGTGAATTGGCACCGATTGGCACGTATGTGGTTAGCATAGAGGCAACCGATGAAGATACCGGCGTAAATGCACAAATTTTCTACGACTTTGTATCGGGTAATGCGCGTCAATGGTTCAAAATTGATCCGATTTCTGGATTGGTTACAACAAAAGCAAAATTGGATCGTGAACTTCAAGGTACTGTCGTTTTAAATGTATCAGCCCGTGATGGTGGACCAAATCCAAAATACTCATATGCCGAATTGAAAGTGATTGTTTTAGATGAAAATGATGGTGCACCACAATTTTCGCAAAATCAAATAAATGTAACGCTCAGCGAAAATACACCGCCAAATACATTGGTAGCAATGCTTACTGCAACGGATAATGATCAAGGAACGAATGGCAGTGTAACCTATTCACTTCAATCTGGCGTCAATCAAAAGTATCCAAATGTGTTTGCACTTGATACAATGACCGGTCAATTGACTACCAAATTGAAATTGGACCGAGAAGTAATTGCATTTTATGAAATTCAAATCGTGGCACGAGATCAAGGCATACCACCGCAATCAGCAACAGCTACTGTTTTGCTTACCGTTGAAGATGTTAACGATAATCGACCGGAATTTTATCCAAAACAATATTTCGTACCGATTTCCGAAAATACAGCCACCGATACACCAATTGTTAAAGTGATTGCAAATGATCGCGACGCCGGCGACAATGCTGTTATAACATATAATTTAGAAAGTGGCGGCGATGGTTTATTCACAATTGACTCATGGACCGGTGAGATTTCGTTGCGTTCGAATTTCCGTTCATCGCAGAAACCGTTGCATCGTTTGGTGATTTCAGCAAAAGATCGTGATAATATGCGTTCCGAAGATGCAATCGTTGAAATTATAAAGGATAGCAAAATGGAAGAGCTTGAATTCGATTCGTATGCCGGCTATGAATTTCAAATAACCGAAGATTTTGGCCAAACAAATGCGAAAATCGGCCGTGAAATTGGAAAAGCACAAATCAGCGGACAGAATAAAAATCGAATTGAATATGCTATTGTTTATGGTGATCCAAATGGTAACTTTGAAATTGATAAACACACTGGAACTATACGAACGGCAAAGTTAATCGATCGCGAAGCGACTTTATTTTATACATTGAGTGTTGCGGCACGGGCTGGTTTAGCATATGGAAAAACAATGGTAAACATTTCGGTGTTGGACTTAAATGATAGTCCACCAGTTTTTATGAAGGAATATGATGAAATTAAATTGCCAGAAAATGCAGCCGTCGGACAAGAAGTGTATTTATCACGAGCACGCGACAAAGATTCGGGAATAAATAGCCGAATCACATACAGTTTGACTTATAATCCAGAGGATCAATTCCGAATTTCCGAATCAACTGGTGTTTTATATTTAAATCGACCGATTCGCGCCGATCCCGAAACAGTTATCACAATTGAAATTACAGCAAAAGACGGCGGACAAACTTCACTCTCGTCAAAGTGTACGATTAATATTCGGATTGAAGACACAAACGATCATACACCAGTTTTTGATCATACTTCTTATGAAACGTCTCTGGTTGAATCGACACGAGTAAATACAAGATTCTTTGCATTGGCTGCATCCGATGCGGATTTAGGTGCAAATGGTCGAATTAGCTACAAAATCATCGAAGGAAATACAGATAATAACTTTGGCATCTTTCCCGATGGATATGTGTACGTGAAGAAGGCATTAGATCGTGAAGAACATGATTACTATTCATTGACAGTATTGTGTAGTGATAGTGGTGTACCATCACGTAGCTCAGCCGTTCCGGTGACTATTCATGTAATCGATGAAAATGACAATGCACCACAATTCACTAATTCAACATTTACATTTAGCATCACCGAAAATGAACCGATCGATTCATTTGTTGGCAAATTAACGGCCATTGATCTTGATATTGGTCGAAATGCTGAATTGATTTATACATTGTCAAGCACACAAAATGATTTCACGGTCGATCCACGAAATGGTTTTATTAAAACGGCACGCGAATTTGATCGTGAGGCATTGGTTCAATCGACCGGTCAAAATTTTATATCGCTCGAGGCAACGGTCAGCGACAATGGAATGATTCGACTCAAAGATACGGTGAAAATAAAGATTTTCATTTTGGATTTGAATGATAATGAGCCGAAATTTTTGCGAACACCATACAAAGTGCAGATTTCCGAAGGTGCACCGATTGGAACGCAATTGATTCGAATTTATACGGTGGACATCGATGAAGGTTTAAATGGTGATGTATTTTATTACATTTCTGATGGTAATCAAGATGGTCGTTTCACCATTGATAGTTCAACCGGTCAAGTGACACTCGCTAAAACATTAGATCGCGAAACAGAATCATCGTATAAACTAACGGTTATTGCACACGATGCCGCATTACGGAATCGCTTGAGCTCAAACACAACGATCACATTGGAAGTTTTAGATGAAAATGATAATGAGCCAATTTTCACACAAACCGATACCCAAATTTCGGTTAATGAAACAACATCAGTTGGCATGGAATTGATTCGTTTCCGTGCTACCGATTCAGATTTGGGCATAAATAGTCAAATCTCATTTTCAATATCAGCTGGCAATCGACGTGATACATTTCACATCGACTCGATTTCTGGTAAATTGTATCTGCATCGGCCACTTGATTATGAAGAGACCACATCGTATACATTAAATATAACGGCAACAGATGGTGGCAATCCAAGATTGCAAACAACAATTCAATTCAATGTAATGGTAATCGATGAAAATGATAATCGACCAAGTTTTCCAAGCACCGCAATCGTTCGACAAATCAAAGAAGGAATACCGATTAAAACGCCAATTGTGACCGTCACCGCGGAGGATCCTGATTCTGGTGTTAATGGCAAAGTAATTTACACGCTAATCAATCAAGAGCCAAGCAATAATAATCGTCATTTTAGCATCAATCCAAACACCGGCGTTATTTTCACATTGCGTGAAATCGATCGCGAAACCATTGACACATTTAAATTAACAATTGTGGCAACGGATCAAGCAATACCCGAATCGAAACGATTGTCAGCCGAAAAAATTTGCACCGTTATTGTTGAAGACATTAATGATTCGGTGCCAATGTTTGTATCGATGAACGCAGCAATTTTACCACAAACTAAACTACGATCATCACGAAATGGTGCAGTCATAATGAATGTATTCGCACGTGATGCTGATTCAGGCACAAATGGACTGGTGACATATGAAATGGTTGGCGGAAATAGCGATCTGTTTCGTTTGCATCGCAGCACCGGCGCAATAACACTACAAAAATCACTCGACAAAGATAATACCGAATTAAAATACCAGCTGGCGGTTAAAGCAACCGACGAAGCTGTACAAAGTGAACGAAAAAGTTCTGATGCCTATGTGACATTGATTACCGTTGGCGATAGTTCAACGAATGGACCGATTTTTGAAAATAATGATATATTTGCAAGTGTTTATGAAAATGAACCGATTGGAACGAGCATTACGACGGTGGTGGCTCGTTTGAACAATATTGATATTGAATATTTTGTAACAAATGTGACTGGTGATGGTCGACAAGTCGATCGTTTATTTGACATTGATCAAAAATTGGGTATTTTATCAACGGCAGCCGAATTGGATCGTGAAGCCGGCGTTGATGTTTACGAAATTGAAATCTATGCAATTGCATTGGACGGAACACCGAGAACTGCAAGCACCAAGGTATGTTTGACATTCAATATTTTACAAAATATTTTTTTTTTTTTCACACAAAAAGAGTTTATCTTTTGTTAATTTATAAATTTCAAATGCCAGCGCTTATTTGAATAAAAACCTACACAGTTTAGTTAGGCAAGCAAAATATTTAAAGAAAACGTTTACAATGTGCATTATATCACGCAGTTGAGATTGTAATTTTCTGCATATTTTTTTTATCCACATTAAGATCGGATAAGATAATTCACGAAGCGTCTGTTGTTAATCGCATCTTTATGCACAAATCACGTATCTATTTTCAATTTTTCTCTCAATAAAATGGAATGAAGGACGCACCAGCTATGCAAATCATGCAATATATACATTTTAAGCAAATAGACTCAAGTTTATTCATCATCAGCAAATACTAGCGAAAATGTGTTCACAGAAAAAAGTGAATTTGCACCTTTTTTTAATGAAAGAAAAGGCCATCTTTTCATTTTTCAAGAGTGCAAGTTTATTGGCCATGTGAAAATGAAATAGAAGAACAAACAAGCATCCATTGAAAGCAACACAAAGAATTGCAAATGTTATCGATGTCGATTATTAAAATTTCAAACACATCGCTCGATAGATTTCACAAAGTGTGGTGCTGAAATGAAATATTTAAAATGGAAAACTATTTAGATTGCAACAATGTGTTCAAATGAATAATCGCGGACGATTAAAAAAGAGAGAAAAAAAGAAGGGTAATCGACACTTTTCGCATATGGATGTGAGAATTTATCTGAAATACTTTTTTCTGTTTGTTTTTTTTTTTTATCTCTTGTTATTTGAAATAGCATAAAATAATGTTTAAATATGTGGAATTATGCGAATGATGCCAAAAAGTATGCGCGCGAGAAATCAACGCGAGTGGAATGAATGATGAAGTTTTTTTTTCTCTTTCGTTTGTATGTTCTCTTCTATGCAATTGCGGCAAATACTGGAAAAAATACAAATACAAACATATAAAAAACCAAAACATATTTACATGTCAGCCTGTTGAATTCCAAATAGATTTATATATGGTACGGTTGAGCCTTTGCAATTAAAACCACAGTTAGATGTCTGCATTAATCGTATGCAGTCCGGCGGCAGTGGTAGTACGAATGTATCGGGCTAGTGTGAAAGAGACACAAACACACACACAACGCGATATAAAAGCTTGAAAAAAGTATGTATATATAAATTAAAAATACATCGCACAGAAAAGCGAACATAAAATTGCATTCAAACGACGACATTTGCGCTTGATCGTTTTGAAAAAAAGAAAGAAATAAAAAAATGAAAGAAATGTGTGGTTTTTTGCACAACGAATCGACATAACACATGAGACTTGTGTCTATGAGCCCGTTTTCAAGACAAACGAATTGAATTTTCCACCGTACACACACACACATATATTTTATATTTTAACATTTCAATTTTGGTCGTAGATTTGCTCACGCGCACCAAACACCCGGCACATTCAATTCCGAATCCATTTGTACGAAAAACAACATTAGAGAGCACCGGAGAGATTTGGGTTTGCGATTCCAATTTTTGCATTTGTTTGTTAGTTGTCATCGCAGTTTTTCTTGTCTTCATTTGGTCTCTCTCTCTCTCAATGTGTGTGTGCGAGTATTTGATTTCGATCTTGTGTCAAGTGCAGCAGCAAAGATACAACATGCAAAAAAACTTGATAAATTGTAACGGTATTTAGATTTTTTTTCCAAGTTGTTTCGATTTTCGAGAAGGGCCACCGTTTATTTTTGTGTGTATATATTTGACCCAAAAGATCTTCGTTCGTTTAGTATCCACGCTGTTCGTTTGCTCTTTTATAAAATTTTTAAATCATTTTGTCCGAAAACACATACCTTAATTAATCGATAGCAACGAAAAGAGAAGAAACAACAAGAATAAAAAAAAGCGGACCCGAATTGGTTCGCGCCGTCCATAACATGGAATGGAAATCCGAATGGCAAGCATCAAAAATTATAAATATTCATTACGATCGGAGAGCAGTGATGTCTACAGACATTTACGCGTTCTTATGCAACAATTAACGTTTCGTTTGTTTTGCTTTGGCTGCTGCTGTATGTGTGTGACTTGTAGTTTTTGTTTGTTTTATTGCCCTTTTTTATGGGCATTCAATTGAAAATCTCTGTACATTAGAGAGATACAGCAATCAATGCTTGGAAGTAAGAGAGAGAGGCAGAATAACAGCCAGTGCGCGTTTGTTGCAGCCACAAGAAGACGAAAAGAAATAATACAAAAGAAGAAAAAAAAGCGTCCGATCGATAACATTAAGCATTCTGGTGCGGCATTCATTCTATCTACGATACACATTCACCCAAATGGAGTGTGATGTTGTTTTCGATATAATAAAAGGTAGACATTTTCCTTTCGGTTTGCTGCTGCTGTTGACGACAACAACCAATAAAAAAAAATATATATGCACAAAACATGGCAACACAAATAAATTCGCAACGAAAAAAAGGCAAGAAATGCTGTAATTCTTAATCTTAATGCAAAAATGGGTGCAACTTTGGCATTAAGTCATTTTGTTAAATTACTGTTTAAACGTTGCTCTCCCTCCCTCTCCTTCTCTTTCTTACTCTCTTTGAATTTTTTTCTTTTTTTTTTTTTTTTTTTTTTTTGCTTCTTATTTCGTATGATCGCCAACATTTTGCACATTTTTCCGCTCGAAACATTACCATTATTGGTTAAGATGATTTCATTGAAAGAATTTTCCATTTCATAATCAAATGTTTGTTTTATAACATTTTTAAAAGCGAAAAAATAGGCAGAGAGATAGATGTACGGCCAAAGACGAACAAGGAACCCTGTTAATAGCATCGACAAATATTTTAACCTGATTAAATAAAAAAAAAATAGCTAATTGCTCAACCAATAGATCACGCTGCGTTGTAGATGCAATGAATTTTAATGACTTAACCAATGAAATTCCGAAACATACAGATCGATTCCACTTTATCGATAGAGAATTTTTGTTTCTCTTTTTTGCCATTCGAGCAAATGGAATTTTACTTTGACTAATGCATTTTTGCACGATTTTTGAGTGCCTCATTCAATGGCTAACAACATTCAAGAGATGAGATCACTTTGTTTCGTCAACATGCATACTGGGTCACTTTCGTGGATTTCAACTCCTGATGAATCTGGGTAAAGTAGTTATTTTACGCGTTAAAATGTGCAATTTCTCAATCCCATTTGCAATGAATGGTTGTACGAAACGATAATAATTTCCGGCTGTAATTTTAAGTACTGCATGGCATTTATCGCATTCGCATATTATCCAATTTGGATTTGGTTACCAACACAAGGTACCGTGTCTTAAAAAGTGCAGCCAAAGAAGGAAGAAAAAAGCGCTAAAGATAAAAGTGAGTGAATGAGTATGGTTGCGCTTTGTATTAATCCAAACCAAAAAAAAAAATATATCGTGAACCTATAGAGTGTGAGCGAAAGAGAGAAAAAACGCACATTTTTCCACTTTATTCGCGAGACAGTGTGTATATTGTATTGTGAATGCGTTTCGATTTGTTGCATCTTCCGTCATGGTGCTCTTTTTCTTTCCTTTTCTCTCTTTTTGTGTGCCTGTTATCCATAATTATCAATAAATATAATAATTCACGTTCACTATGTCACATTTTTATCATTTCAATCATCGAATTCTGTTGAAATGGTGTGCGCAAGAGTGTGTATCGCTGAGTATAAAAAAATGCTGAGATGTGCATTGAAAGGCTGAACTTATTGAATGCGAATTACTTTTGTAAAGACTGGATAACATAAATCCGTTCGATTGGGCATTGTTTCATCTTCCTTTTGGAGTGTATGTGCATTTTTTTTCATGGTGCGCATGAAAAAAGTGAAACGCAATGTTGCAATTTAATCGAATTGAATTGGTTGAGGTGCGCGTTTGTTTAACAGGCATGCGCATCAATTGAACACAGATACATAAAATCGAAAGAAAGTCACATCGTGGCGCGCACAAAATAATGTATACCAAAGAGAAGAAAGATAGCGGAATTGAAGGTATTCGTTCCGGTGCATGTAAGACCTTTAGATGTTTTTTATCTCTGTGTGTGTTTTTTTACTTTAAAATTCTCTTTGTAAAGAAAGTATTAAACATTTACCGCAATTATTCATACATATTTGCGTAGAGAAAATGGTGTGTAGGTGGTCAAAACCGTATATCGAAAGAACAAATGAGAAAAAAAAATTCAATAATGCGACGAAAATGAATTGCGCCGCTTTTGGTAAATGGTATGATAATTACCGAGAAAACAGATATTGATGGAACGATCGTCCTAATCTTCTGCACCCCGACAGAGATATACGATTTGTATGGATCTTTCTTTTTAATTGAAGGAAGAAACTGTAATGCATTTGGAATTTGATTAATGGAATTTCGAATGTACGATAAATAACCGAAAAGTTTTCAATATAAATAAAAATGGCCGATATATATGTGTGCATTAATATAAATGAGGCTCTTAGTGAAAAATCAGTTGAATCAATCGCAAATCAGTCAAGATTGGTAATGGTTTTGCATAAATTTGATGTCACGTCCCATGGATTGAGTGCGATTGCATTAGCTGCGGCCAATCTATTTTACACAAATCGAAATCGCCGGTCGAACGATCGAAAATGTATGATGACGATGGGAAGACAACAACAACGATTGTCTCAGCGAGAAATGTCGAAATTAAAAGCATATTTCAGGATTTAACGCTTAATGCGAATACATGAAACCGGCACTTATGTCAATCGATGCTCGGCACTGATACACTCCGATGAATCTCTCTCCTCCTCTCTCTCTCTCTGTCTTTCGGTTTATTCACTCTTCATTTCAATTTTTGTTCAAAAAGTTTCGATTGTCGCACAATGTGCCTATCCATATTAATAGGTCTGCTTTATTTGTCTTTCTTGAGTAAATATATACATATATTTTTTTCGCTGCCTTTATGCCGGTATGGAATTTG